CCCTCTTCTTTGTGGCAATCCCTGAGATATTGGAAGACTGCTATCATGTCTCCCCTAGTCCTTCTTTTCATTAAACTAGACATACCCAGTTCCTGAACTGTTCTTCATATGCTTTAGCCTCCAGTTCCCTATCTCCTCCATTCTTCAAAAGGACTTCAGTGATGGTATTTAAAAAGTGATAGTTAAATCAGGAAAATGTTGGTCTTTGTGAAGTGAAAAGTGAAAAATAATATTTTTATTTAATATTTATTATTTTAATGCAGTAATTTAATGTTTATAAGTCACCCAAAGTCATCTCTGATGAAGTAGGAAACACATAAATTTAATAAATCAGCACAAATAAATAAAAGCATACTATCTGAAAGATTTACTTTATATAGATTTAGATGCATATGTGGTTATTCCATTTTCAGAATGTAGTTCAGGGAGGAAAAGACAAATTACAGGAAACGCAATGTAATTAACACATATATGTACCCACCACCATTTTAACAATTCTCAAAGTCCCTGCAGAAAAGTTCAATTTTTCCAGCCTTTCAAAGTAATGTCAGGGTGGGTACCAACCAAATCTATCTCAGATAAATCTCCTGATGGACTTTGAGTCAGTTCCAACAGGAACTGTTACACAGAGGGTGGTGGCTATTCTGTGAAGAAAATAGATTATTAAGACCCATTTCAAAATGGGTTTAGAACAGGGGTATCAAACTCAAGGCCCACAGGCCAGATCTGGCCTGCGGGGTGCTTAAATCTGGCCCGTGGGGCCAGCATGGAAATAGCAAATGACCAGCCTGCGGTGCCTCTGACCGCCAAAACCGGGTGGGGGTGGTGTGCACCCCCCCTATGCCCTGTTTTGGCTGGCAGGGTGCTGCAGGAGGCATTTGTCCCGTCTCTCTTCCCTCCCCCCTGGCCGGCCCACAGAGGAGGACTACAATGCTGATCCGGCCATCGAAGAAATCCAGTTTGACACCCCTGGTTTAGAATAAAATGTAGTGTTAAGATAACACTGGTTAGCCTGTAGGTGACTTTTCACTAACATATTCGTTTTTAACAGACACAATGTGTTTGTTTTGGTTTTTTTCCCTTTCTGATCTCTTTGGACTGGTGATGATAACCCTGAACTCTCTGAGAGATTTGGAAGTGGGTTAGTGCATTATCTTCAACAGAAATGCCTCCGGATTCCCTCTTGTCACCAGTGCTTTGTAACGCCTTTATGAAATTACTGAGCGAGGTCACCAGAAGGTTTGGTGCTGTGTATTTATTAAGATGTTGGTGCCACTCAAAACAATTTGTGTCATCATTCTGAAATCAGGTCATTAACCTTCCTAGATGCCTGCCAACAGGCACTTGCTAACTGCACGAGTGATGATAAATTGAAATGGAATTTAAGCAAAATGATAGGTGCATGGTTTATTAATGCTCTGGAATCCTGGTGTTTCAGGTTGAAATCCTGACCAGAGGTACTTACTGCAAGTAATAGACCGTTCCACCCGTTCCCTGTAGCTTGGTTTCCAAGAAGTACAATACAATACAATACAATACAATACAATACAATACAATACAATACAATACAATACAA